AGCAGTGGTATCAACGCAGAGTACTAAAAACGGCGCCAAAAGCAGTGGTATCAACGCAGAGTACTCCAAGCTTTTACCAGAGCATTTGATGAGACTTTTGCACCTAAATGTAGCTTATGGTGATTACTGTTCTTATGGCGACTGTGGGAAAATCAAAAACGTACAAAATTTTGCTTTGTTCTCCTGCAAAAAATTTCATCCACGCGAAATCACCGATTTCACATGAAAAAGCTTTTGGAATGAGTAGTTGTTTACATTTTGTTCATGATAGTCGGTATTGTTCGGTGAGTTTCAATGCCATCATTATGCGAGAATAAGTAGGGCCTAGATAGTAGAACCAGTGCGAGCCTCTGCGAAGCAGAGGTGACGCACTGGTATATATATATATATATCCTTCTATATATATAAAACCGAATGGTGTACTTGTCTGTACGTTGGTGGATAAGCATGTTGATGCTGTCTGTACGTCTTCGATGGTGTTTTTCTGGTTTGCGACAGTGTTTTCGTGTCTATTGTTTTCCAGTCTGGAAGTCATGTTGGGATGGTGAGCTGCCCTTTGCTTCGATTTCCCATTCTCATTGCGTATTTCGACACGCTAAAATGGTCGCTTTCCTTTTTTTTTGATTTTTTGTTTCGTTCCTGCGTTCTTCGACACGCTTCTGAGGCGGTCGATAATGGTTGTTCTTCTTTGATTCGTTCTATTGTTATTTTTGCCATAGTTAAAAGCGCTTCGTTCTGGAGTTGAATCATGTCGGCGTTACATATTTCATCATCTTTTTATGCGGCTGAAGAACTTGTTCTGTTCCATCTTAGCTATGCTTTTTCGTATTGTAGTTCTTCATGAGAATAAATGTTTTGCAATTTCGCATAATTGCCTCAATTTGGTGTACTTGCTGATCAATTACGCACACATGAAGCGTTTTGGAGGAATTACCATTTGAATATCCGTTTTATCTTTTCTCGATCACCCTCTCCTCATTTCTTTTCGTGTCATAGTTCTTGATTTCAAAATCAAAAATCTTTTTGCCTTCCTTGTTTCTAAGCAGTCACACAGACTTGAGATATTATTGAGTTGTCACATGTGATTTTTGATTTGATTCTTTGATTCATTTAATTCTCAAATCACAGGTTGAGTCGTCCCCCACATGTGATTTCGTCTCGTAGGTCGTCATTTCAAAAATGGAAGTTTTCATTTGATACTTCCCATAAATTCATCTAAAAATGCTCTGAATTTTGCCCCTTTTTGAAGTTTTGCCCTGCTTATTTAAACAACTAGGCAGACACGAAGTTCTCCTCACAATTATGTACAATATAAATGATTGTACTTTTCACCAAAAAGGTTTTTGGTTTTGGATTTGCGACTTTGCTCTCTTTGTCTTCAAACAAACAAGTTTAGGTTAAGTTCTTTCGAGCAAGATAATTGAATATCCTTTTTTTTCACACTCAGTTTGGCTCGCAGCCTGTTTCCAGGATTTTTTTGTATAGGGGCCTGCAGGATCGCGAGAGTCGGTGAGGTTGCGGCCATTGCTCGCGCATTGAGCTTTCTCGGTCTTTTTTTCGCCTTTTAGACGTTTTTCTGCTATCAAATGTAAGCTTCTGATTATTTAAGGCGATTCCGAGAAATACAGGATTGTTTGAGTGGTTTGAGGCCTTGTAGCATCCTGCGTGCGCAATGGCCGCAAACTCACCGACTCTCGCGATCCTGAGCCCTATAGTTTGGTAACTTCATAGTAGTTGTTGCCTGAAACTTATGTTATAGAGATGGTTGTCAATGTGTCGTTTAAAACTTGATGTTTAGTATCATGGCAAACATTTCAACTGAAGATTTACTAAAAAGTGCACTTCCTGTAGAAGTGCCGCTGCCGGCGGCTGTCGAAGCGTTGCCTGTACCTGTAACTGTAGCCGTGGAGTACTCTGCGGGCATTGATGAGAAGTTTTCTTATGGGGACTATCATTTTAGCACAATTAGTTTTTTTTATATTTAAAGCACAGTGTTTAATTTATTAATTTAGGTGTTGACAATTGGAATTGTTAAAACCGTAATCATCAGAGAGAATTTGACCATCCACGTTTTGATGGACCCGAAAGACATGGATAAAGAATTTGACGTATTTACATACACTGTTGTAAGTTTTTCTTCATAGATATCTCATAGTTTTTAAAGGCAGCGTTTAGGCAGATCTGGAATTATGGGAATTTTACGTGGAAAGTAATTTTGGGGCCCTAACTAAGCCACTGCCCAACAGGCAGCTCAGGTAGTGCTCTAACGGCTGAGAGATCGAAACTGTACCCCGGGATCGTATCTCACATGGATTCATGGCGCAAAAGGCTGCGTTCATATCGATCCCAAAATTTGGAACAGTTCCAGCACAGCGCTTAATTCGAGCGCTGTGCTGGAACTGTTCCGGGACTTTGGGATCAGTATGAACGCAGCCTTAGACAGGCATCACTGCCGCCATAAATTGCCTAACTCTCATTCGTTTTGCTCTGTGATCGTAGAATCTAGCAGTTAGAATATGTTATGTAAAAAGATAGCTCGAACAGCCAGCGTGCTCTAACTCGATACCACGTTAGTTGTAAAGGTGCGCGCGTGACTTTTTACTTGAAGTTAATTGAAAACAATCTTTGAATTACAAAAAAAAGTCTTGTAAATTGAAAAAAAATGTGAAAAAAGTCGGGCGTGGCAAGCCCGCTAAAATCTTTAATGGATTGTAAAGGGAAAGTGCTTACTAATTGTAGTTGAATGACAGAAATATGGATGATAATGCTTGCAAAACTCTTCTTGAATAATATGATTTGTGAGTTTTTACAGCAAGGATCCTGCTGAAATTCTATGGGGATCTTATGGAGCCCAAATCATTGTTGAATCTACAGGTGTGTTCACTACCATCGAGAGAGCATCTGCTCACTTGAAAGGAGGCGCTAAAAAGGTACAACGTTTGCCATCGATGAACATACTAATCTTTTGAATAATGAGCAGTGTTTTAGGTAGACATCTCAGCACCATCTGCAGATGCATCTATGTTTGTAATGGGTGTGAACCACGAAAAGTACGATGCTGCTAAAAAGCACATTATCAGGTGCGCTTTTATCGCTTCAGTGTGCACATTTCCTTACTGGACTCATTTCTGTTTCAGTAATGCTTCTTGCACCACAAACTGTCTTGCTCCACTTGTTAAGGTTATCAATGACAACTTCACAATCATCGAAGGGCTTATGACTACCGTCCACGCCACAACGGCGACGCAGAAAACAGTTGATGGCCCATCAGGAAAGCACTATCGTGATGGACGTGGTGCAGGCCAGAACATCATCCCTGCTTCGACTGGTGCTGCCAACAAGGCTGTCGGCAAGGTCATCCCAGCTCTAAATGGAAAACTCACTGGAATGGCCTTCCGTGTGCCAACCCCTGATGTCTCGGTAGTCGATCTCACTTGCCGTCTGAAGAAAGCGGCTTCCATGGATGACATCAAAAAAGTTTGTTGAGTGACGTCAATCAAAGTGCTGAGTTCCTGCCCTAGGTCGTCAAGGCAGCCTCTGAGGGTCCAATGAAGGGTATTTTGGGATACACAGAGGATCAGGTCGTGTCGACTGATTTCGTCGGTGACCACAATTCTTCGATCTTCGATGCTGGAGGGTTGGGCCAGACTGCGCGGCGTACGCGGCGTACGCAGCGTACGCCGCGTACTCTCCTATGATAAAATATACCGAGCGTACGCTGCGTACGTCACGTACGCCCGTACGCCGCGCACTCTGGCTCAACCCGGAGCTTGCATTCCTCTCAACCCCAATTTTGTCAAGCTTATCTCATGGTAAGTCTTTGCAGTATATCTTATGGTATATTAAGTGGTCTTCTAATTAGGTATGACAACGAGTTTGGTTATTCATGCCGCGTTGTGGACCTCATTGCGTTTATTGCCTCGAAGGACTAAAGAAGCGATACCTTGGCCCTCTTCGCTCTCAATAAAACTTGTGGTTTTCTAGTGTTTCGCTGTGTTTGTTGCCACTCTCTCGAGCGTACACTGCTTTATATAGGTGTGTAGGGTCTTCTTCTTAATGTATTTGTGTAGAGATTTATGTAACAAATTTGTATCATACTTTGGGTTAACCTACCTGAGGAGAATACCGTCAGATCTACTCGACTATACCTAGGTAGGCTTTTCGAGATTGTGGCCTATGACATTTGATTGAAGACATACAGGATTTAATCTGGTCTTTTAAGAGTGTTCTGTCTTACGTGTCTCCCACCAAGCAAATACCGTGTCATCAGGTCTAACACTTTCTACTCTTCGTGATTTCCTTCCCACCATCGGAGATTGCCGCAATGTTGTAACCGTAAGGGTACTGCAACGTCTCACCATGGCGGGGACTGTTTCTCTCGTCCATATTTTGAATTGAGGCCCTTGCAAAATGTTGTTTTTCACCATTTTCGCGCATTCCAAGGTAGATTTTTGGGAATAGCGCATTGGACAACTCCAGGTAAGCCAGCAATCTCCACGTTAGGGTTTGTCGAGCACTGCCTTGGGGCACACATGAAAAAGTTGCCTGCAGCACGGGAAAATTTCCTTGTAAAGTGCAGAGGATTATTGACTTTCATGTTCAAAGTTCTAACATGAAGAAGAAAGGGATACCCAAACAATGGAGCACATGCCGCACAATTCTGCTACAAAAAAAAAGGCGAGAGAGAAGAGCTTCAAAACTACCGATCAGCTCCCTACGTGTGCTTTAGGCTGTCTACAAGGATAATCACGCGTATTTTGAGGACGTTGAATTAGGCACAGCTGAAGCAGGCCGTTTCCCCAGGGATCGGTCATATGTTGCCGACTGTTGCCGAGAGCGCATAATACAGAGTGATACCAAATCCGGCACCTGGCAACAGTTGCTGGCAACTATGACGGAAAACATTCGGCTGCATTGACTAAATCAACTTCGAGATATTTATCGTTTTCGGTTCCCATGGATGAGCTAAGTCTAAAAAACTGTGTTTTGCAGCTTCAAAATATATCAATAGCCCGCTTTTCCGAACTGAAAGTGCTATTTGGGCGTACCACGTATGCCTGCTCTCTAGAGCGCGATCGCTCGTGAGTGGAGACACGGTAATTACCGTACCCACAAGCCTTAGAGGGCAGGCATACGCCGTCCGCTCAATTATCACTTTTCACTTTTGGAAAAGCGCGTTATGATATCTTTTGAAGCTGCAAAGCACAGTCTTGGGCTTAATTCATCCAGGGTAACCGAGAACGAAATATCCCAAATTTGTCATTCTGCCGAGCCGCTCCTTCAAAGGCAGTGTCCGGCAGATTTGGGAGCAGCACCTCACCGTCATCATAGTATCAAAGCGAGGTCCCTATGCAGGCCATAGCCCGGCCGCGATCGCAAAGTATTGCTTTGAAACGAGTAAACACCTTCGGAAGTCTGAACAGAGACACCCCTCGATTCTTTTGTCCTTACCAACGGGGATCGTGCTGCAACACGGCAATTGCGAGTTTGTTATTGGTTGCAGCGAGGCGTCCCGCATGACTATGTGCTTCGGTAAGGACGAGATTGAATCGACAGGCGTCTCTGCTGTTTACTTGCTTCAGGAGCAATATTTTGCGGTCGCGACCGGGCTTGCCAGGGGCGATACTTATGTACCGATCTCCGGCGGCGTGGCGTTATGGAGCAAAGCTACGCCACATTCGCCTGCGGTATATCCTGAGGGCCTTTTGCGTTGCGTCGCTCCTAATTGCAGCCGCAGATGAGCTAGCGTTACCCAGCGGATTGAACCGTTCTCCATATTCTTCATAGAAAAGGATCAAAATTCGAATGATAAACGGATTTTGAAGATAAATTAAAAATATAATTTGAGGAAGAAGTGTTTGTAAAACAGAACCCAAGAGAAAGCAAAATAAAACGAAATCGATTTTTTTTGGACAGTCGTTGACGGAAAATCTCCTTGTTTTTTTATCTAATCTCATATTCCACCTCTCTTAAACACTTTTTAAATCCAGCTTTTGATTCATATCATATTCAGCCTTCAATTCATCCCTGAGATTCATCCTTTTCTTCAATTTTTTTCATTGCATTTGTGCAGTTTGAACATCTTGAAGCGTACCAATAGAAAATAGTTTAATTCGCTGGCAAGAGCACCGATACTCCTGTGGCTGCAATTTGAGGCGACGCAACGCAAGTGGCCCTCAGGATATACCGCAGGGGAATGCGGCGTAGCTTTGCTCCATAACGCCTGCCCCCCTCCCCCCCAATCTCCTATAGGGGCCTGCAGGATCGCGCGAGTCGGATCGTGCGTACGGCCATTGCGCCGCGCACGTCCGATGTCACTAACAGGGGAAGGATACTTGGATGCCGTAGCCATTCATAATGATTTGTATACCAAAAAATGCGCTTTTGAATGCTGGTTCGTAGACTGTCTTTCATATCTGCGAAACGATAATCTGAATGGAGTTATGATTTTTTTCATTGAAAAAATTGCGTTCCTGCGAAGGGTCAAAATCATCAATAAAAAAATTTTCTCTTCTTTCCAAATGCTGAGTATGATCCAGATAGTCTAAATAAATATTACTACGTCTAAAATTTTCTTCAGTAGCATCAAACGGTAGCCTGGATCAAATCTGGTGATTTTTACTATCCAAAAGTAGGCTAAATTTTCAAGGAAAAAAGTTCATAACTTTCTTCAAAAGATCGTTTCGCAGATTTCGAGCACAGATTCAGAATCTGCATTCGAAGGCGCATTTTTTGGTATACAAATAATTAGGAATGGCCGCGGCATCCAAGTATCCTTCCCTTGTAAGGCAGGTGCCAGACTTATCCTGTTGAACAGGTTCATTCGGTTCACCACCTTTGCTGTTGGACAGTGTTAGAATGATTCAAGAGTAATCAATTTGTCCCAAAACCTCTGATAAGTTTGCACAGAAAACTGCATCGAATCCGTTTTTAGAAAGTTTGTTCAGTCCTTTGAGTTGAGCACGACCTCTATTAATACTTCCAACATATAATTACCGTTTTCCTGTTCCAACAAGTGCCGCCGAAATTGTTATTGGAAGATTTGTTTTGTTTTGTTTTGTTACATTTCAAGCTTCTCTATTTCTACACTGGAGCGTTTAATTTGGAGTGCACCATAAGTTTTAAAAATGTCAGATATTTCAGCAAAATAGTGCGGCCGCCCTTATTCATTTCTCGAGTGCGTAATATGTTTCCTCTCCCCAAAACAGCTGTGCCAAATCTTTTTCGATGGATTATACTGCCTTTTTTCTGCTAAAATTTTATCATGCCTTTTTCCTGCCAGAATATCTAGCAAAAAGGTTGAAGTTTTCCAAATTCTTTCATGAAATGCTCAGCAAATGCTTTTATCTCAGATAAACTGCACTAAATCTATTTTTGAAAATTTCTCGCAAATACTTTCACTTTCCGGACAGTCTGTAACTATGATTTTTTTGGAATGAGCACTTCGTTTGAAATGCTTATGTCATTCAAAATAATTGTCAGGTATTACAGCAGAACAGTGGCAGTCTTACGAATTTCAAGTGATTTATTTTTCACAAACTTCCATACTGACCCACTCAAAAACAACTTCATTCTGTGTTTTTAGCAGTAATTTGAGCACAGCTTTGATCGTGCAACTTTGTTGAACAGCGCGTCACTGAATTTTCTAAGAAAAAACATTGTTGACCTGTGCAAGAGATCAGTGATTGATACAAATTCTCAGCTCAGATGCTTAGCATCTGTGAAATTGCAACATGCCATTCAAGAGGTATTTATTTACAAACATCATTCATTCTGCAAATGTCTACTACTCAAAACGTGTCAGAGAGTGCGTTTTGGACTATCAAAGTTTTCACTGCGCGCCTCAAATAACCGAAAAAAAAATTAGCGCTCTTCAAAAATCTTACATGCTTTTGTACTGACTTCGTGAGTATTTTTTCTACAATGGATGTATGAAAAATTTTCTGCTCAGAGTTTTCTGCTAATAAAAGCTCTAAACTGTCTATCCAGAAGTCATACGCTCTTCCAATGTGAATAACCTTAAATTTGTATAAGGAGCGGAGATCTTAGGTGAGCAGCTCAAAGCGAAACATCTTTGAGTAGGTCCCTTCAAGAATTTGAATCAGTTGCTTGCTAACAATAAGATAATTTGAAGATTGGTGGATTTTAAGTACCTATGGATGAATCGCAAGGATGCTGGACAGTCTGAAAAGCCCTTACGAAATGCGATCGAGAGATTTGTCATAAAATCTTGAAGTGAAAGAGGAATTGTGCAAAAAGGTTACCGTGTGAAAAGAAAGAGGGAGTGTTCAATTTTGATGAACTCTAGATTTGGTTTGGATGTTGGCTAAATATTTTCAAAGATGTCAATTCTAATTTTCTTGCTTTTTCAATTTCGGAAAGAGTAAGAGTCTGAGCAAGAACTTTTGGGGGAGTGGAGTGTCCTAAGGCAGCTTGGGAAGTTACTCAGTGTGAAAACAGGATCCGGGTGGGAAGAGCGCTCGTGGCTGATAAAACTTTTTCGGGTATGGGCAGTCACTTGCTTCGGGTAAAGAGGAGCTGAGGGCGGGGGGGGGGGGGGAATCTTTAGGAAATGTAGCGTGTGAACGGAACACAATAGTGAGATTAAACCTCGTTGGGTAAAAATCTCTAACATGTTTTTCATCATGTGTAACACCGAAATTAACGCCATGTTTGAATTAAGCAAGGCGAAAGTATGAACGAAACCGAAGTTCCCGAACGTGTGAAAATTACTCACGAGACCACTCGTGCAGCCATTCAAGTAAACTGAGATGGCGGCAGTTTTCATTGTTCTAAAAAGAGAGGAAACGTAGCGTTCTATATGCGTACTCGCAACACTGAATACGAGACGGTGCTCTGGAAGTCGTCAAGGTTTGGTGGTGTTCATTTTGAAATTCATATTTATTGGAATCTTTTTTTTTCGGTTTTCAGA